AAATTCAGGTGGTATGAAATCAAAGTCATATTTTGGCTCCTGTGGATTTGGTTTAGGTTTCCTCAGCTTCAGCTTGAATTTGCATATGAGTAATTGGTGGAACAGACCTAGTACCATAGCCTCTTTAAAACCAGCCTAAACATCTGGCAATTCTCTGCTGATGTGCTGTTCCAGTCTCTTTTGGATAATTTTCAGCAGAATCTTGCTTGCATGTGATATTAATAATATTATTCAATAATTTCCACACTCTGTCAGGTCATCTTCCTTTGGAATTGAAACAAATATAACCTTATGAATAATTTAATTGCCTGTTAAAGCACAAAAAGGAAACATTTGCAAAGTTGATTCAAGAAAGGATATTTATATTTGCTTTTATTGCATTATGTGCTAATATGTGTATTTCAAGGAGAAAAGGGGTGTAGGAATTAACATTCCTACATTTAAATAATACTTAAAGAGGATAGAAGTGACTTTAGAAAGTGTTCAAGGATTTATATCCTGGAAAATAAAAGATCTGCTGGTGGTACTCTCTTCAAATACTCTTTTTTTTTTTCTATTTTGCCTGCTGGGGTAAAACAAGGGAGTTCTGGTGGCCTCGTGTAGAAGTTGCACTTTCAATCCGAAGGTAGAGTATTTCAAATCCATCAGTTGCTCTGTGCGAGAAACATGGGCAATCTCTTCCTGTGTGATTTACTGCCTCTGAACTCGTTTTGACTCAATGGTACATAATATCAATAATAACGGGGAAATGATGACATTGCTCCTGGAGATATTCTTGTTATGTACTTTCAAATGGGAACCAACCCATCGCTGATCCTTCAGCTGGTTTTCAGAGGCAGTAAAATCACAGGGGAGGAGATTTCCCATCCTTCTCCTGTGAAACAACTGGTGGAGATGTTAGTACAGTGAAAATTGAATGTTTAGGATTTTAATAAAAACAGGGTTAGGCAGTAAAATGCTTGTGAAAATATCAGAGATAAATAGAAAAAAATAAACGAAGAATATTGGTACTAGCAGTTTAAATTATCTTCAGAAATAAAATACCAATTTGCTGGGAACATAGAAGGAGATCTAATTGCATGTTAACTCTGAGGAAAGGTCATACAGCACTACTACTAATATGCTGTTTCATAAAATAACAATAACATTATTATGGGGGCTATAAAACCAAACGGGTGCTAGATATGTGCACCGTTAGAAATTTGCACTTTACCTTTGGGATGTCAATGAACTTAATTTCTACTATAGGCATTCATCTAAGTGCATTTTATGACTTTACACATATTTTCCAATTAGGGCCTTCCCCTCAGGATTGAAATGAAGTTAGAAAGAGTTCACCTGTTGCCCTGTCGTGAGCACAAATCACTTTTACCATGTAAATGGAGGACTGCTGAAAGTGGAAATCTTTCACCTCCAAAATATGGCTATCTATTGGTTATACCTCTCATTATGTCTCCACATGTGTTCTGCTCATGATAGCCAAACACATTATGTGGGTCAGGCTAAATGGTAAGCCAAAGCTGTGGTCACATGTGTTGTACCTGTGTGCTATTTACATGGGATTGGCTTGTCAGTGAACCCTTTGTGCAATTTTCAGATCTGACCCTTGCTACCATGGCATTGTTAAAGAAGATAACAGACATTTGAACATTGTGTAAGCAAAGATTCAGCAAGGCTTATCCTTCTCCCATGCTTGTGTTTATTTTTAATGATTTAAGAAGCCCGTTTTGTTCTCTTTGTCTCATGATGTGCTTTAAGTTTATTAAGTTAACCCTGTGATTCAAACAGTTTCATTTATTCTAAGACCACTGGGATATCTTGACCATGGGAATATCTTCCTTTGTGGCTTACTTAGGGGCTCCTGCTGGGTAAAAATTAGTTCCCACATGACAGACAGCTAAAATTTCTATATCATAGTTATTCACATATTAAAAATTTTTGGACCAACCGAACCTTAAAGAAGCCATGCAGACTTGAGTTAAGAAGTTCTAATTTCCTTAAAATAAAAATGCATTATATATCATCAAAGACTTAGATAAAAGATGAACAGAAGGTGTAGATCATGGTTAGAGGATGTAGGGTTTAACACTGTGAAATTTTCAAATTAATTGGTTTTGGGTTTGTTTGGTTTTTTTTTACAAATTGAATGAGTAACTAAATGTTTAAAGCATTTTGTTGATATTTTTAAAATGCTACAGAACATAATAAAGTTTCCAGGAACTATACCAACAGGTACAGAAGGAAAATTAGAAGGGAAAGATATTATTAGTCAACAAGCAAAATAAGTATTATTTTGAGGAAGAAAAAGAGAACTTTTTCTAATCTGTGCTGATGATAAACTAGTTTTAAGGAAAAAAATAGAAAAAAACAGGATTTATGCTGCTAGAATAATGGAATATGCTAAATCAGTTTTTCTTGCAACACAGAATAATAATTCTTATTGTTAATTTCTAGACTTAAAAACAATTACATGTTTATAAAACATATAGGATTATGGTAAAAGTAATTTACTATACGGTGAGAGTAATGGACCCACTGTCTATCAGTTTGTTATACTGGGGTGGCTTTCGTGTTACTATGATCCTGGGAGTGATGTCCTTGATATTTCAAATACCAAGAGTTACCTATAATAGACAGGTTTCAGTGAAGCTTTGAGACTAAGATAAACTAGAAAGAAAGGCCTTCTAACAGTTAGTCAATTAAAATAAAATCCTGGATACGTTGGCCTTGGCATAGTGAACAGAAAGTTATGCTACCAAGCCCAAGGTGAGTGATTTAATTTGCAGCCCTCAGGTCTGGTTTAAATTGTTTTTGTCAAACATTCTTCTAAGTGGTATAGCACTGGTCTGTGACTCGTGGTTGCTATAATGCTAAATACTGTGACCCTGATATGCCAAATTGTTACCCATGGTGACAGTGTTTGGTGGAGCTTCCTGATTAAAACAAGCTTGGAAGCAGGAGTGGCATCCACTTCTGAAACAGCTTGCTTCTGGAAACCCTATGAACCTGGAGAAACTATGAAAGTTATGAAAGTGTTCAGGTTTTTCATTCGTAGTGTCTCTATGAGTCGTCTATGACTTAACAGGCACTTAACAACAACAACAACAGATGAAAACAAAGTATTATACAAAACAATGTTAGAAGATGAGCCCTCTACATTGAAAGAAACACTTGAAACACAAGTGGCCAGGGCAGGAGGGAGAGGGAAAGAGAGGTCTTTTCTTGAGAGCAGTGGGTTTATGATGATGGAGATATTGGCATCCATAAAAGATAATGGCTGCAAGAGCATAATGAATGCAATTGATATCAGTAAATTATACACCTGGAAAATGGTGAATTGGCTCATGGTTTATATGCAGTAAAAATGTGTGAAATCCAGAAATTGTTTAGGACCAAAACCTATTAGAGAAATAAAACTCAAATATTTCTCTGCTAAAATGAGCTGAAATGTAGCAAGATTTCATCCTGTCAAAGTCAGAAAACTTACCAGACCCAGGAAAACAAAGTAGTCCCACAGAGTTACAACTCTCATGAATTTTACTTTGTATTTTTACAAAAACAATGAAAACAAAAAAAGAACAGCTACTGAGGCTGTTTATAAACTGCCAAATAATCCTTCATGAGATTAATGTTTTAAAATTTCAGATTTCAGAGCCATGTTTCATGAGATTTCACAGCCAACTGACCTAATATAGTTTCAGTGTTTCTCTTATACTTCCTGTTTGGGCCTGAGGTCTTGCCAGTGGCACTCCAAGATGAGGAGGAACTGGAATGTGTGTCTAAGTAATTGCCTTCATTTAAACTGCTTTATTTGTTCTGAAGCCAGAAGAACTGAATGGTGCCTGGTTACCACTACTGAAGTATGATTGAAGTATTCTTATCAAAAGGTGGCAAAATATGAAACATTATCTAAAAGTCTTAAATAATTAAAACTTTCTAGAGCAATGGGGATGGGTGACTCGCTGAAATTATCACCCTAAGGTAATGAAAATTTTAACCTTAAACTAAAATATCACTTGAAGTCCTCCTAAAACTAAGCACTAACTTAGCTAAATTGGTAAAGAATACCGATTTGAGTAGTAATCTTGTCTTAAAATTATTTATATGTGATCAAATTGACAACTGTGACTCTTAAGGTTAGATGAGGAGCTTAAAGGGAAGTGATTTTGTTAATGATGGAAGAACAATTTGGAAAAAGATAATGAGACTGGTTGTCCATCCTGAAGAATGTAATCAGTGCCACTGAATTGTAGAAGTAGAAATTGTTGAATTGGAGTATACTTTATAATTATATATACTATATAATTGTGGGGGGGGTTGTGTGTATATATCTTGTTGTTGTGTTGTTAAGTGCCGTCGAGTCGCAGGCGACTCATAGTGACCCTATGAAGGAGAGTCCTTGATGTTTGGGTGCCTTTCATCCTCTCTCCAGGTTCATAGGGGTTCCAGAGGCAAGCTATTATAGAAGTGGATGCCACTCCTCCTTCCACGCTACAATTAGGGTTAGGTTTGGGATTAAGAGTAGGATTAGGTTTAGGGTTAGGTTCAGTGTTGGAGTTAGGCTTAGTGTAAGGGTTAGGGTTAGGTTTGATATATACAATTATATACATATACACAAATACACACACACATACACACACACACACACACATCATCATCATCATCATCATCATCATCATTTTCCTGCATAGTCTGAACTAGAGCTGACCCTCCGGTGAGTTTTCCAAGGACGTAAATTGCATGGGGGGAGATTGTCCATCTTTCTCCTGTGCAATAATGGGTAGATGTGAGCTGCCCTGAAGAGCCACCTCTGGCTTAGCAGAGCAGAGCTCTATGGACTGTGCCCCCAGAGGTCCCATGGATGTGTTGTGTTTTTTTTACATTTCCAACTTATAGTTTTTACATTTTAACTTACCTGTTAAGTTGTTCTTGAAGCAAATCTAGTCTTTGTTCTACTTCCCCATATGTAAGGTCACTTTCGGTTTCAGAAATGCCCCAGGCAGCTTGCTGCAGTGCTGAGGAATGAGACTCATCAGGCAGGGGCTGAGTCCCGGCGTGCTCTCGTTCCCAGTGTTGGGCATCAGTGATATCTATGGAAGATAGCAGGATCAATATCAACTTTTTAAAGTACCACCTGGTATCAGTAGTACTTGGACCCCACAAAATTAATTAGAAGGGATCTCAGAGTACAATTCAAAAAGATTGTCAATCAAAGGGATTCCAGCAGCCAGGAAATCAAGAGATGAATTACATTGGGAAAGATGGCTGTCAGGGATATCTCCAGAGTACTAAAGAGCAACAATGTCATTCTGGAGACTAAGGTGTGCCTGATACAGGCTATGATCTTTGCAATTATGTGCTATGCATTGGAGAGTGGGAGAGTGACTAAGGATGATAGAAGGAGAGTTGGTGCCTTTGAGCTGTGGTGCTGGAGAAGAGTATTGAATATACCATGGACTGCTAGGAGAACAAACTAGTTTGTCCTGGACAGGGTGAATTCAGGCTGCTACTTGGAGGCAAGGATTCTGAAGCTTTTTCTGACATACTTTGGACATGTTCCAAGGAGGAATCAGTCCTTGGAGAGGGACGTCATGCTTAGGAGGTTGGAAGGACAGTGCAGGAGAGGAAGACCCTTGATGAGATGGATTGATTTAGTGACTGGGGTAATAGGAATAGGTGTGTTAGACACAATAAGATTGGCAAAGGATAGAGTAAGGTTTAGGACTGTTGTACATAGAGTCACTATGAGTCACAGGCAACTCGATGGCGCATAACTACAACAACAACAGAGATCAAAAAGTCAAAAGTTCTGGTGGTGTAGTGGTAAGGGGCTGTGCTGCCAACCCAAAGGTATGTACTGCTCCATAGGAGAAAGATGAGTGTTCTTCTTCCATGTGATTTACAGCCTCTGAAAATGTCCTGGAGTGTCCTCCAGGAGTTCCTTCCTACTCAAGGATCTGTGACAACAATCTGAAGGTCATTCTCCTGTTGGCAGGAGAGTCCCACCCTAACCTGCCTGCCTTCCCTGCCATAGCCATTTCCACATAAATACAAACATGGCACATCATGAGTCTAGATTATGGTTTTTATCTTGCTGTTTGTGCTAACTGGGAATGTGATGTCAAACCCAAACTCCGACTAAAGAAGCACTGATTGTGCGCTTTTATATTTAGGAGGAAACATAAAGGAAAACATCATTTTGTTTGTGCTGGACCTAGGGTTTAAAATTTTAGGATTGTTTCCAACAGATGTGCTTGCATATTTCATGACTCAAGCTGGGCCCCAGAGAGAGCCATCAGGAAAGTGTTTCCATTCAACCAACACATCTCAAAGTATAGTGGTGGACTCATAAACTATTAAAGACAGGAAGGTTCTAAAAACTCCCATGGTCCCCAAACCACTATTTAATGTTTAATGTTGCTTTGTAGCACCTTCTACTTTGTCTTTTAAGATACTTACATATAGCTCTCTAACACTTTTAAAAAAATTTTTCTTCTCTCTCTATCACTTTTGTGGTAAGTCTTTTATTTGCCATATTTTTATTTTTTTTTAACATTGCTATATTGCTATCAGAGAACTCTCCAAAGTACTGAAGAGAAACAATGTTAGTCTGGAGACTAAGATGTGCCTCATCCAGGCCATGGTCTTTGTAATTACTTGCTATGCATCAGAGAGCTGCACAATGACTAGGGGTGATAGAAGGAGAGCTGATGACTTTGAGCTTTGGTGCTGGAAAAGAGTATTAGTATAGGAGGACAGACAGGTTTGTTCTGGAGAGGATGAACCCAGCCTGCTTCTTGGAGGCAAGGATTCTGAAGTTCCATCTGACCTACTTTGGACATGTTGCAAGGCAGGATTGGTCTTTGGAGAGGGCTGTCATGCTTGGGAGGGTGGAGCGACAGTGCTGGAGAGGAAGAACCTGGAAGACATGCATTGACTCAGTGACTGGGGTCATGGGGATAGGTGTGTCAGAAACGATAAGGTTGGCACAGGATAGAGCAGTGTTTAGGGCTGTTGTACATAGAGTCACTATGAGTCACAGGTGACTCACCGGCACATTACAAAAGCAACAACTTATTGCTCTGGTGTTGTAGTTGTGTATTGAGCTGTTAGCTCAAAGTTCAGCAGTTTTTGTCCATGGGCCTTTCCTTGGGAGGAAGATGGGCAGTTCCTCTCACAGAGATTTACAACCTCAGAAACCAGATGGAGAGTTGCTCCAAGTTGGAGTTGACTCTACAGCAGTCAATTTGAGTTTTTAACTTTTAAATAAGCCTTAGAAATTTATGTTAGTATACTCCGTATTTTGCAGAAGGTCAGGGACTGAAGCCTTCAATACGGATTGAAGCTCAACATCAAGAAAACAAAGATTCTCACCACTGGGCCAATCGGTAGCATCAGTATGAATGGTGAAGAGATTGAGATAGTTAACAGTTTTAGTTTGCTTGGCTCCACAGTCAACACTCTTGGTAACAGCAGTCAGCTGTGAGAGAACTCTCAAAAGTAGTGAAGAGCAACAACATCAGGCTGGAGACTAAGGTGTACCTGATCCAGTCTTTGCAATTACGTGCTATGCATCAGAGAGCTGGACAGTGACTAGTGATGATAGAAAGAGAATTGATGCCTTTGAACTGTGGTGCGGGAGAAGAGTGTTGAATATACCATGGACTGCTAGGAGAACAAACAAGTTTGTCCTGTAGAGGGTGAAGCCCTAGTGGTCCTTGGAGGCAAAGATTCTGAAGCTTCATCTGACATACTTTGGGCATGTTGCCTTGGAGAGGTCCTTGGAGAGCAACATCATGTTTGGGAGAGTGGAGGGATGGTGCAGGAGAGGAAGACCCTCGATGAGAGGGATCAATTCTATGATTGGGGTGATAGGAATGAGTGTGTTTGAGACAGCGAGTTTGGCACAGGATAGAGCGGCATTTACGGCCCTTGTACATAGGGTCGCTATAAGTCGCAAGAGACTCGATGGCATATAACAACAACATACACTGTATGGTGAGCTCTGGTGGCCTATGGTAAGAAGCTGTGCTGCCAACTCAAAGGCACACTTGAAAATTAGTTTATCACTGAATCCAAAATTGTGAAGCCCTGCACCCTACTTGCATCTTAGCCCCCATAACTGGTTAGCTTCTTTGTAATGGAGTTTATCATCTAATTTGTGTCTGTATCTTTAGATGCAATGTTTAACTTCTCTGTTCTTGAATTTCTATAAATTAGCTGAGCCAACAAAACCATAGCCAAGGCAAATGTTACTGTTTGGGAAAATAAGAGATAATCCCATGCAAAGATAAGGAACATTATTTGTCTCCAAAAAGTAAATCACTTCCCCAAATAAGGAAACCTTTTAACTTTGAGAAGAGACATAGTGGGAAGCTTATTATTCAAAATAGCCTTCCTAGCTTGAATTTGTCTTGGTCATGTGGATGGGGAATAGGGTGAGTAGCCTATTCCCTTGTGGCAGATAGCTTATCCACAGGGCATAGGCTAGTTTTACCAATCCACCGGGGGTCTGGCTAACCTAATCATTAAATTGAGTGCATCCAGCAGCAGAGATAGTCTCTTACCAATAGCAAAGGTGAAGGAGGCAGGCAGTGCCTTCAGTACCAGCCATTCTTGTGCCAGCTAGACTTACTGCAGCAGTAGCCATGGCCAAAGCAGAGAAGCCAACATGAGATGGGTTTGACTTTGGAACTGCTACCCCCCCACTCCACAAACAGAACCAGAGCTAAGCTAAGAGCCTTTGCCCAAGTTTGTTGGGTGACTAGGGGTAAGGAGTCTGTGAAAGCCAATATGACAAGACTGAAAACTTTGTAATTTTGGTCTTAAGTCATGAGGCTCAGAACTGAGGTGCCTGAGAGCACATATCAGAAAGTGACTGTATTCTGCTATTAATGTGGATTGTAATGTTTTAACTTCCTCAATATGGTTCTGTGTGGTCTGTGAACTACCTCATTGGGGTTTGGACTCAGTAAAATAGTAAGATTGGTGTTGAGACAAACAGAAAGAGGTGTGGCACATAGGGGATATGTCTGGCGTCATGCGAATTAGTTTTATGGTGCTGATGGAGACAAAGGTTCTCCCCTTCGTGAAGTTCGTAAAAGTCAGATATGGCCATCTCCACACAGCCCTTACTCCTTTTTACAGATAATAATGAAGTTCATGAGTTAACATTGTTTGAATTGAGCACGGTTTGTTAAAATTTAGGTTACTTGTTTGAATTGGGCCCTATTTGTAGAAATCTAGGCTGTTTGTGGAAGCTAGGTATTATTTCCCCAGCAATATGTAACTTGTCTTTTCTGAATGGAAAGCCCTGTAACTTTGAACATGACATAATAATATGTGAAGTAGATTAATTGCTGACTAAGGTATTGTGGTGTTTGTTAAGCGTTTATTGTTCAAAATGGTTTCTCTAGCCATTGACTTTGACTTTGCCATGTGAGTGTGCAGATATGCAGGACTATGTGAATAGAATGTGTTAACATATATCTATAAAGGTGTTGGCTAGTCTCACCATTAAAGTAAGAAAATTCAGCAGCAGATTTTGAGAATCTTACCACCAACAAAGAAAAAGCAAGAGGATGCAAGCATGCCCTTTGGGGTCAGAGATTCCTGCAGCAGCCAGACCTATAAAAGAAAGGCAGTAGAGACCCAGAGACTTGACATGAGATGGAGCTAACCTTGGGACTGCTACCCCACAGAGCCAGAGCTAAAATCTTTGCCAAAGTTCGTTGGAGGGCTGGAGGGTAGAGTTATAATTGGTAGGACTGAGAGCCTAATGCCATGAGGTTGAAGGCTGAGAGGGGCCTGTGAGGACACTGGGAAACTTTTTTGACTGATTGCATCTGCTGCCAACTTGAATTATAGCCTTTTGACTTCCCTAATATGGTTCTGTGTGGCCTATTTGTTTATTTTTTATATTTTTTTTCATTGTTGAACATTTTCTTGCCTCACCTCCCCCTCCACGAACTTGAATGTACTCCTTGTTCCAGATTGTTGTGCTATGTGTAATGCCTAATCATATATTCCTTTCAGACAGTTCTTCCCCTCATCTGTTCTAAGGCAGTGTTTAGTATCTATCCACTGTTCCCCCAATCTCTCCCCAATCCCTCCATATCTGTCCTATTTTGTAATAGCAGGTCATTCCTTGTTTGTCCTTTTGTGACTGAATCACACATATTGTATAATGATTTACAAGTTCATTGTTCTCTATGTTGTGTAATATCCCATTGTGCGAATGTATCATAGTTTTTCTTTCCTGTGCTGTGTAATATTCCATTGTGTGAATGAATCATATTTTTTCTATCCATTCATTTTCTGATGAGAACTTGGGTTGCGCCCATCTCTTTGCTACTGGGAATTATACAGCAACAAACATGAGTGTGCATACATCTGTTTGAGTCGTGGCTCTGGTTTCTTTAGAGTATATTCTTAGTATTGGAGTACTAGCCAAATACTATTTCTATTTCCAACTTTTGGAGAAAATACCAGACTGTTTTCCATAGTGGCTGTGCCATTTTACATTCCCACCAGCAGTGAATTAGAGTTCCAATCTCTCCACAACCTTGCCAGCATTTGTTGTTTTCTTCCCGGGTGAGCTTTGCTTTTGTTGCTGGAGTAAGATGATATCTCATAGTTGTTTAAGGTCTGTGAGCTATTGAAACACATTTTAGACCTAACTAAGAGAAGTAAGAGTGGTGTTGGGCTAAATAGAAAGAGGTGCAGGAGTGAGGGGGACATATCTGACCTCATGGGAATTGGTTTTGTGCTGTGGATGTTGTTGATGAGGATAACTCCCCTTTGTAGAGTTGGTAGGTTAGATATGGCTATCCCCACAAGGCCTTTGCTCTTTTAACAGGTATAAAACCCTCTCACCACAGATAGACTTGGGAAGCTAACTTCTTCTAGATTGACAAAGTGCATGAATTAGCAAGCCTCTTATTGGGAGAAAAAATGACTAACAGCAAAAGACCCATTGTCTGCCCAGTAACACACTATTGAAATCCACAACTGTTCTACAGGAGAAAAATAAGCCCTCTCCTCCCATGTGATTTACTACCTCTGAAAACCTTCTGAAGAGTCAACTATGAGATAGTTTCAACTCAGCACTACACAACAATAACATACACTGCTTATCTGCTTAAGTCCACTTTTCGAATGTTCTGATTGTTATGTGCTGGGTACTCTGCTAAATGGAGGAATCAAAGGTGAACATAATTTTGGCTCTGCACATTGAGAATTCTAATAAGAATTATATTCTTTTTTATCACTGATATTCATGTTATGATCTTCCTTTAATTTACTGATTCTCTAATATTCTATATTTCAAGTTATCAATATTTGTAAGTAAATATTCTACTTTGCTCTTCAATTGTTTCTTATTCTTTAACATTTTTTGCAAAGCTTTTTTAACCTCAAAATTTCATCTAAAGGAAAGTTTAAGAACAGTTAAATGATTGAAAAAGAAAATTCTTGGAAAAATTCCTAATGGAGGTCAGAGTTAATTTCAGAGATAAGGAAAATGATACATCTTTTAATTAAGACTAATGGTATGAAGGAAAGTATATCTCAAGAAGTTCTTAATTTTCACATGGAAATACTTTTGAATTACAGTGATTTTTGTTAAGCAGATTTTTTTTTATTCTTCTTTTTGACAAGTAGCTATGATTAAACCCAGAGGAAAGTTATTATGTGAAGAGATGGAACTTAATATCCTTGGCTATTCAAAAAATGGTCAGAAAGCAACTGATTTAGGGAGGATTATATATGATTCCAGAAATAAGGAGGATGATAAGATTTCTTGAAATCTCTTCCATTTCTTGTTTCTCCCAAAGTACAGATAGCTCAAAAACATCCTATTTCTCCAAATAACAGACACGATTTTTACATATTTTCTTCAGAATTTTTCTTCTCATTATCCTTTTATTATACAACACACAGAAATTTCTCTAATGAGATGCCTCCAATTTCTAGTTCAGTGGGGGAGGCTTTAACAAAAGAATTAGTATTACCAAGGTCAGCATTAGAGAAACATAAGGTCTAGGTTCTTCCTTAAATTGTAATGGCTATAAGCCTGCAGAGTGCTCACTGTAAGTTCTAGAAAGGTCCTCTGTGGTCAAATTGTATTTAGCCTATAGAATCATAATGTTTTATTCTAGTTATCTAAAGTAACAATATAATGTCTTTTTTGATATTTTGACCAAACATGACAAGATGAAACTGAACACAGAGAAAGAAGAATGATATTTCTGAAGCTTTGAGTAATTTATCAGAAGATTTTTTTTTCACTAGGAAATATGATTTGTATGTGAAATAAAAAACCACCTAGTATAAAATGAACTGGGTTTTCAACTTTGGAGCAGCAATGACAAACCAATACTTCAAACACATTTATGAATGGTTTGGGCATGTTGATGTTTGTATCGTGTAGCCTCATGCTATTCAGTTACTGGAAGAACCATTAAAACTGTTAAAATAGAAATTAAAAATAATGCTAAATAATTCTGAGCAAAGAAAGCTTAATGAATTTCTGCCTATGTTTCCCTGCTTTCTTGTTTTTCTAATCATATATAATGAAAGATTTTGAAACTATAATGTTGAATAATATACTATAAATTTTACAAGATTATAGTTTTTCTTGAGTGCTCAAGGAAAAAAATTATCCTCTTTTAGCAGAAATAATATGTAAAGTTCTAGACATAGCCTTTCTTGATTACAATTTACTCTTACTAAAGCTGAAAAAGTGTGGTTGGCCTGTTTTATCAGTAATTTAAAAAAATGAGTCCAAAGGGGACATTCTGGTTAGTGGTCTTAATCAAAAAGAACATCCTTGAAAACTCTAAATATATCTCAGAAAGACTCTGCACTTGGTTGCTGTGGAAAATGTTGCTATAGTTGCAAGATACATTTCTGGAAATGGATGAGCACAAAGTAAATTTTCACTTTGCTCTGTACACAATTTTCTGAGAGTCAACTTTTGACCTCAATCTAAGTAGGATCAGAATCCATTTAACTTGGCTGTTTTCTTTTTAGTTTTGCTTAAAATGTGCTCTTCTGCTGGATTCAGTATGACAAATTCTAGAACTCTGAATCAGTGAACTTTCCGATAGACAATATAACTAAAATTTGTGGTGGCTTAGTAGTTTGCCTTGCATAGGTTATAGCTACAACTTCTATATTATTAATGTTTTTGAGGATGACATAATACTTCACCTTAAAAATCCCTAATGGTAAAAATTTTCTGTGAAAAAAGTTCTGAAATTCTCCATTGGTTAATTGTGTCAGTTGGTTAACTTGATTTCATGCTGATGGAAGCTATATGACATCAATTATATTCAGTTCATACTTTTCTATGCACTTTGAATTTATTACTTATCGTTTCAATAGAGGTTCTAGTATACATTTTTGAAAGTTTAATATTTGTAGACAATAGAATTCTTTGTTAAAATACTTATTTATTGGATAGTGCATTTGGTATGGCTAACAGTTGAAAGAGGTGGCAAATATATAGATATATATGATGAAGTACAAAGGGACGCATTATCAGTGAAAGACAATGCAAATTAGAATAAAATCCCAAACGTCTATCTTTTATGACTTGTCACTTGAGAATCTAAAATTTATGAAGAAAGTGCAATAAAAGTGTTTTATTATGATATTGACATTGAAGACAGCAAAGATGTCAGCAGACTCTTCAGAACTCCTGACTCCTAGATACAATCTGTTTCTATTCTTGATACTTGTCAGATATTCATTTTAATAAATAACTAAAATGGGCCATTTGGTAATCACATCTACTGTTCCATTCTTGCATCGTGATAAATGAGGTACTATTTTCATCCACTTCATCAAGATTTTAGATCTACAGAGAACATTTGCATATATTCTTAGCTTACTTCACTATGGGGTCATGGCAAAAGCTGGTTTGATGTGATAGAAAGAGTAATTCTGGGAAAACATCAGACTCTAGATTTAAGAAAGCCTCTAGATTTGTTACCAGCTTTGGCTCCTACAAATAATGGTGATGATGACAAATAACATTTCTTCTGTGCCATACATTTTGCTAAACCAAGATCACGCCACCTTAATTTCATTTTTATTATGTTCTTTTGATATTTTGTTATGCCTTCTTATCATTATATTATAATATACCAAGGGATACATATTTTTAATAATTGAAGCATTGGTAGGTACAACTTCCATGAGAAAATTAGTGAAAGGCTTTTTCAATTTTTTCCTGAATTTGCCATTCTTTAACATCAAATCAACATACAACAATCAACCATTATCTCTCATTCTTTGAATATTTTTTATAATAAAACCAATACATTTGGGTGTTTCTTTTGTTAAGAATATTAAATATATTGTGTTCAATTGAGTTAGAACACTATTTCTCTAATTTTATAATAATTCTTCAACTAAAGAAATTCAATCTCATTGTTATCAAGTTAAAACTGACTCATAAATGACCTAGTAATGGAAAATTCTTTTTGGCAGTTACTAGGGTGTTAATGTCTTGGCCTTTCATGCTATAAAATTTTCTACAAATTCTCTAGTTCCCAACCATGGCTGTCTTTTTAAATGTTCATGGATTCCAGCATCTTCTGTAATTAGTACTGTAAAACTCTGCCTTTTTTTTCAAAAAACCCAGGACATTTTTATTACATTTGGATGGGCATAAAACTGCCCATGCTATTATTGGCTGGAAATTTCCATTCATTCTAGAATCACTTAAAGACTGTAGATGTTCTGAAGTCTGTATTCTTCAAATAGTCCATGAAATTACAAAATATAGTATTAGCACAATTCTGCATTTGTTAAATGTCACCTTTTTTTTTTAATTAGCCTTGAGGAAAGAAAAGTCATTCATGAGAAGCTCAATTACCTTTTAATTTTTTTTTTCAAATTACGTTAATTGGTTTGCTTACCTTTGCAAGAGTGACTTCTTCTATCTGTGTGGATTCTTCCTGAGGTGGGCCCTGTTTCTTCAAAAGCGAGCCCAGTTGCTTTCCCTGTTCCCTGCGGAGAATCTGATATTCCTGAGAAGAGCGGTTTTTGTTCATCATCGATGGAGGAGATGAAAGATGATGATCTGCTTTTTTTCTCTTCAAAGTGTTTCTTGGAACTCTGATAATGTCTTATGGTATCTGCAGAATCATCAGGATCATTTTCTTTGCCAAAATCTAGCAAAAGAACATTATTTTGTAAACTATAATCAAATGTGTGAATCTATGCATATTGCACTACCAAGCAACATACAAACTACTTTTTATAGTGATATTCTCAAAAATAACTTTAACATAGAATTTTCTCCAAAACCATCAGAAAAGTTACTCTGTTTTTGTTTTCCTATTCAAAAGTGTAATTACTCATAGGAACTTTTTTGTTTCTTTTTAATACCAAGGACAACAGGTTATGTAAATTAAATAAATTATTCATTCTAAAATTAAAGTAATATTTGTAACAATAACTTTGTATTGGTGTTTAAATTACAGGGGGGAGATCCCTATAGCATGACTAATAAATTCATCTGTATATGTTCAAAAATAATTCATATTCTGAAAATCTGGTATACTTTCTCTAGGGAAATGAAAAAGGCTGGGAAAAAGTTATCCCATTTCAAAAATATCACCACAAAACAGCTTATTGTTTGTTTATAACCGTCATGCCTTGTTATCTGTGGTGGCTGTCCGTCCATACATTGCAAAAGTCAAAATTGGAATCTTATTTATAGCAGGCTAATTTTCAACACTAATCGATTGAATATAACCTTGAGATTCCATGTAGTTTGGTTGTATAGCAGATGGAGAAGAAGATAAAATTTAATACAATAATTAAGATGGGTTTTATCTAATTCCATTAAAATTGGTAGTGCATGTTGACTGTTACATACTCAAATGTCAGGATAATTTCAGCCCTGAAGGTTGTGTTAGAATATATTTTAGAGTGAAAAACCCAGAGACAAATTTTAGAGTATATTTCCATTAATATTCTCCATATACAGTATAAACCTCCATGTAGTTCCTGCTAATAACTACAAAAATACACAACTACCTCCAGAATGTAAATAAAGTTCTGTAAAAATGATTAAGATATGTTCTTACCTACTCTGATTGGTTGTACCTAGTTGGGTATTTATAGAAGGACAAAGTAACTGTTTGAAGGCAACTTTAGAATGTCTTCCAACTATTTTTTAAATATCCCTATGCTGCTTAGATAGAGACACAGTTTTCCCCCCCATATTATTTATATTGTAATTTAAAATATGGGAAGTTAGAAACCAGCCCAAGGCTACATAACAGGGCTCCTAAAATGGATTAAAGTTATAAATTCAGTTCATGTGCAATTATTATTGATCAATTTTTTGCCAATTAAACCTGAGAAGAGTGGATTTTTTCATTTATTTATTTTTTTAAATGCCACACTTGCTCAATGATTTTGTTATTCCTGAGAAGGCAATAGATTTTCCCATTCACAATTATCTTAGGCATCACTGATTAGTGTCACTTATGATATTCATCTCAACCGTTAATTCAGTCAGTTGTAAATATTCCGATCAGTTCTTCCTACACTGATCTTATTCTCTCCTATGTCATTGACACTAGTTACAATGAATTGATTCTAACTCATGTATGACAGAGTAGAACTATGCTCCACAAGGTTTTCAATGGACCATACTTTTCTTGAGTGTGCAAATACTTTCACTTGCACTCTGCTACCCATTATCCAATTAGTGAGAGCAGTTCCTACCGGAAAATGTGACATACGTACACAAGCACAGTATTTTCAAGGATATTAGAATTCCCTTCACAAAGTTATTCCTTATAGTTGTGGTGAAAGTTGTGTTTTCTAGGCTCTCCAAGGTAGTTAGGTCAGTGCCCATGCCCCTATAAGATTAAATCTAATCTTACATTTCAATTTCTTTAAATTGTGAATACTTTCTTTTAAGGTATTTAGACTCCTTTTGTTTGAGCCATCTTTGTCCATATTTCCATCAAATTTCCAAATAAATTATGAGATCCTTTTTAATCTCTCTTACTGAACTACTGAATAAAGAATTTCTGATTGATGAGTCCCTATCAAATTAAAACTGATGCATCTTTGTGTTCCTTGAGCCATTATTTTGCATCCTTAGCTATTTCCACTCATATTCCCTAAACTTCTGTTAATGTATATTAGAAAAACCAGTCTGTTCTTTTGGAGTATAACTTGCCTCTTTATGGGTCAAGTTTAAGATGAGAGGTATGAGTAGGTCATGGGGACATTCAGCAAAGCACCAGCCACAGGTAACACCTCAATTGCTGGCTACCTCAGACCGGTCTCAGGCAATGCATCAAGACTATTGTTGCTTTTATGTGTCCTTGAGTGGACTTAAACTCTAAGTGACCCTATGAAAAAGAGATCTGAACCTTGCCCTACCTTGGGCCATACTCACTATCACTAGTATATTTGAGCCCTTTGGAGTCACCATGTCAATACATCATTTTTGAAGGGCCACGTGGGGACAGCCACATCTGACTCTACCAACTCCGCAAAGGGGAACTGTCTCCATTATCAACAAAAACAGAAGTCAAACATGTCCCGCATACTTCCAACGCTTCTTTCTACTCTATCCAACATCAATCTCACTCCTCTGTTGTTATGTGCCATCGAGTCATTTGAGACTCATAGCAACCCTATGTACAACAGCCCTAAACCCTGCTTTATCCTGTGCTAATCGCATTGCCTCTGACACACCCATCCAGATTACCCCAGTCACTGAATCAATCCACCTCATAGAGGGTCCTCCCCTCCTGCGCTGTCCCTCTACTCTACCCAGCATGATGTCCCTCTCCAAATACCTGTCTCTCCTTGCAACATGTCCAAAGTATGTCAGATGAAGCCCTAGAATCCTTCCCTCCAAGGAGTAGCCTGGTTTAACCCTCTCTAGGATGAATCTGTTTGTTTTCTTGGCAGTCCATGGTACATTCAATACTCTTCTCCAGCACCACAGCTCAAAGGCGTCAATTCTCCTTCTGTCCTCCCTATTAATTGTCCAGCTCTCTGATGCATAACAAGTGATTGCAAAGACCATGGCCTGTATCAGGCGCACCTTCGTCTCCAAAGAGACACCGTTGCTCTTGAGTACTTTAGAGAGGTCCCTAACAGCAGACTTTCCCATCGCAATACGTTTTTTTGATTTCCTGACTGCTGGTGCCAAGAGTGTTGACTGTGGAGCCGAGCAAACTGAAGCTGTGAACAATCTCAATCTCTTCGCCATCCGTCCTGATGCTACCAATTGGTCCAGTGGTGAGAATCTTTGTCTTCTTGACATTGAGCCTCAGTCCATACTGAAGGCTGCAGTCCTTGACCCTCTGCAGTAAGTGCATGAGGTCTTCCTCAGTTTCAGTGAGCAAGGTTGTGTCATCTGCATAACGCAGATTGTTGATAGATCTTCCACCAATCCTAACGCCACACATCTCCTCATAGAGCCCAGCCTCTCGGATAATCTGCTCTGCATACAGGTTGAAAAGGTATGAAGATAGGACACATCCCTGGCGCACACTCTTCCCAATTTTGAACCATTTAGTGTTGCCTACTGGGTCAAAAATTCATTGCAATAGCTCATAGACCACACAGAACCACATTTGAAGTCAAAGGCTGTAATTCAGGTAACAAGAAGATACTTCTACTCAGTCAGGACAGCTTCTGAAATGTGCTTACAGGTATCTCAGCTTTGACTCATGCAACTTTAGACCACTGTTACAGAGCTTTCAGTACTGCCAATATCTCTCACTCCCCTTTCCCCTAAGTCTTTCAGCAAAGTTAGGCAAAGGCTCTTATCTCTGATTCCATGAGGTAGAAGTAAGAATGTCAGCTATATCTCTTGTTGGGTCTCTGGTCCCCTGCTTTGGCCATTGTTGCTGCTCCTGTAGGTCTGACTAGCTGATGCAAGAATCTCTGGTCCCAAAGGACTGAATGCCAAGTCTTCCTTACTGGTGATGAGATTCTCAAAATCTGCCACTGAATCTCCTTAACATACTGGAAAGACTAGCCAATCCCATTTCTGATAGGCTAACATATCCTAGTCCCATATTCTCACCTATACATATTGTTAGTTTTGTTACGTGGTGTTGAGTTGCTTGCGACCCATAGCGACCTTATGTACAGCAGCTCTGAATCCTGCCCTGTCCTTAACCAGCCTCACTAATTCTGACACACCAACTCCCATTGCCCTAGTGACTGTATCAATCCATCTCATTCAGGGTCTTCCTCTTCTGTGCTGTCTCTTCACCCTTCCAAGCATGATGTCCTTTTCCAAAGATCCATCTCTCCTGGGCACGTGCCCAAAGTATGTTTGTAAGATGGAGCTTCCAAATCCTAGACTCCAAGGAGAGACTTGGTTTCACTCTCTCCAAGACAGACCTATTTGTTTTCTTGATAGTCCATGGCATCTCTTTTCCATCTATTATGGTGCTGTCAATTGACTCTGTGGTGAGAATCTCTGTCTTCTTGATGTTAAGATTCATTCCATATTAAAAGTCAAAAGCTAGAGAAACCATTTGGAACAGTATACCCTTACCACCACAAAGGTCCTCCTCTTTTATATTGATCCTCCATCTTTCTAAGCATGATGTCTTTCTCTAAGGACTGGATTCTCCTAACAACATGCCCAAAAAATGTGAGACAAAGCTTCACCATTCCTGCTTTCGAGGAACACCCTGGCTACACTTCCTCCTGGACATATATGTTTTTTTGGCATTCAAAGGTATGTTCCATAGTCTTCTCTAAAGCACCATGACTCAAAGGCATGAGTTGTATCATTATTAGTCATTGCCCAACTTTCAGATGCAGAGCAAACAATTGATAAGGCCATGGCTTAGATGAAGACTACTTAAGTCTTTAAAGTGACATTCCTACTCTTCAGCACTTTGAAGAGGTCCCTTACAATAGATTTTCCCAATGTGATACATCTGATTTCTTGCCTGCTGGTACCAGGGTATTGATTGTGAGCCCAAGTAAGAGGAAAGAGTTGACAATTTCACTCCTTTTCTCCATTTCTCATGATGTTGCCTATTGGCCTAGTGATGAGGATTTTCATTTTCTTGATGTGATGTAATCCATATTGAAGACTGCTAATTCCTAAGTTACTGAGACGGATGATTTTACTAGTAAAGGTATTTAACAGACA